TCTGAAACGCTGCCTCCCCATGTTTAGTCCTGACTCTGGGACCAACAGGAGACCAGTCCCTGTGCTCCTCAGAGTCCCAGCAGGAGGCCAGTCCCTGTGCTCCTCAGAGTCCCAGCAGGAGGCCAGTCCCTGTGCTCCTCAGTCCCAGCAGGAGACCAGTCCCTGTGCTCCTCAGAGTCCCAACAGGAGGCCAGTCCCTGTGCTCCTCAGAGTCCCAGCAGGAGGCCAGTCCCTGTGCTCCTCAGAGTCCCAACAGGAGGCCAGTCCCTGTGCTCCTCAGAGTCCCAGCAGGAGGCCAGTCCCTGTGCTCCTCAGAGTCCCAGCAGGAGGCCAGTTCCTGTGCTCCTCAGTCCCAGCAGGAGACCAGTCCCTGTGCTCCTCAGAGTCCCAACAGGAGGCCAGTCCCTGTGCTCCTCAGAGTCCCAGCAGGAGGCCAGTCCCTGTGCTCCTCAGAGTCCCAGCAGGAGGCCAGTCCCTGTGCTCCTCAGAGTCCCAGAGTCGACCATCTCTACGTTAACCCTCTTGGCGCCACGGCAACTGAAGTCATTTTACTATTTACTATTTCCTTGAATATTTATCTCGGTACAATGTGAGTTCTGTCTGTGTCTTCATGTCCTCGTAAAAAAAAAAAAAAAAAAAAAACAGAAAAAGAACACGTAATGAAAACCCTAACCCTAACACGCATGTTTTCCACCGCCACATGATGTCATAATATGCAAATTAGATAGGTACATTTAAACTTTTGGCCATATTCTTTAATTTTTCTCTAATTTACAGAAAGCTTCTATCTCGCATCACTTTTATATCTCAGCCTTTTTGAAATGAAGATGTGAAAATCCAGTGTTGGGAAACTTCTCATCTCAGGCGCTTAAAGGGTTAACCCTTTGGACAAAATGCTGCTTGTTCAACAGAGAATCCAACATTATACTTTTGTTTCAGAAGAGACTGTCGAAAATCGAAAATAGTAAATAACCCAAATGTGACACAGCAAAATACTGAGAAATGTAATAAACGTTAAAAAAAAGTCCAGGGAAGATTCCACACACAGGAACAGGGATGTCAATGCTAGCAGCTCTGTTAGTGGCCAAGGAGATGCTAAAGCTAGGCTAAATGCTAAGGCTAGGCTAAATGCTAAGGCTAGGCTAAATACTAAAGCTAGGCTAAATGCTAAGACTAGGCTAAATACTAAAGCTAGGCTAAATGCTAAGACTAGGCTAAATACTAAAGCTAGGCTAAATGCTAAGACTAGACGAAATGCTAAAGATAGGATAAATGCTAGGCTAAATGCTAAAGGCAGGCTAAATGCTAAGGCTAGGATAAATGCTAAATGCCTCACTCACTCGGACTCATTACATACATCACGGTAAACTCAGATCCAATCGTTTCACAGATGTTGACGTGGACTATTTTCATATAAAAAAATTAAATAAATACATAAATAAAACCACTAAAATGACCCCAAATGTATGTAAATAAACTAGACTCTGGAATCAGGACTAAATGAAAGAAAAGTACTGATTGAACTGTTGTTACTCCACAGCGTTGGGAAAAATGGTCGTCCGAGGCTCCGGTCGTCGAGTAGAACTTTTATTATAGATTACAGCCACAAGAAACAGATTGATAGGAATAAAAAGACCATAAAGAGATAAAAAGGGCGTGTCCAGAGGAAGACCGACCAGCAAAGAGTTTTACAACAATATTCAACTGAAGAGGCTTTGGAAATGTATCCAGCCACAACCAGGAAAAGTAATCAATTTCTCTCTTGGGTCTGGTCTCTCTCTGGTCCCTCTCTGGTCCCTCTCTGGTCCCTCTCTGTCTGGTCCCTCTCTGTCTGGTCCCTCTCTGGTCCCTCTCTGGTCTCTCTCTGGTCTATCTCTTTGATCTCTCTCAGGTCTCTCGCTCTGGTCTCTCTCTGGTCCCTCTCTCTTCGGTCTCCCCCTGGTCTCTCTCTTCGGTCTCCCCCTGGTCTCTCTCTTCGGTCTCCCCCTGGTCTCTCTCTTCGGTCTCCCCCTGGTCTCTCTCTTCGGTCTCCCCCTGGTCCCTCTCTTCGGTCTGGTCTCTCTCATGTCTGTGTCCAAACTACAATAATAATGAAGGACACATTCTTTCACAACGTCAGAACACACACACACACACACACACACACACACACACAGAAATATTTTTGTTGTCAAATTAGAAATGATAAATTAGCAACAAGAAAAAAGTCTTCCAAGTTTCTAAGTCATTTGTTTCAAGTTTCAAGTTCAAAGACAAATCCACACAAATCCACACAAACACACACAAACACACACGACAAACGGCTTCAATATTTCACTATAACTCTACAATAACTCTAATATAATGTGTGTGTGTGTGTATATATGTGTGTGTGTGGTAATAGTATAAGCTTTGTGCTTCAACCGATATATTTTCAAAGTACATACCGATACAGACTGTATTTAAAAAAAATAAATAAATAATGTATTGTGAATAAAATAAAATGATAAGAAATAAATAAACGGAAAAGAAGATTAATAAATAAATACAAAAAATACAACTGAATCAATATTTATCCTGATTCACGATTAACAGATTCAGATAATTAATGAGTAATAAGAATAATAAATATTTTCTAAAATCCTCTCCACATTTACATTACATTATAACTCCACCGCAGTGTCCTGTAAACGAGACATCATTTATTAATATCACACGTTTGTTTTTGTGCCTTTGCTTGGTGTATAAACTGTGCCAGACCGTGGGGAAGCTGGCCCTGTGTCAAAGTGACACAGCAGAAGTCATATTAAAAGTTGTAAATCAAAGATGTATTTTGGACGATCGAGCAAACAGTCCTGTCCCGTGGGTGTGTCTCCCCGACGAGGTTCACCTGTGAGCTTTTAACATGAGGTGGCTCCGCCCACATGGGTTGGTGGCTCCGCCCACATGGGTTGGCACACAATACAAAGACACACCCTCTTCAACAGGTACAAAATACATTCATTAAAAGTGGCCTTAAAACGGACAAAGTAACCAGCTTTGTCACGACACTAATAAACTGACCTCGAAAACCTCCAAAAAATAAAAAAGAAAGTAACATTTCCGTGGAGAAAGAGACAGAGCGGAGCCTGGAGCCACAAGGACCGAGGAAAATCTAAAAAACATCTTCTCATCGTCAGAATCAAAACCAGAATCGTTTTTACTGCTGTGTGAGAAACAAGACGCTACAAACCAGGAAATTACTGTGGCTCTGAAATGAATTCAAAGTAAAAATAGAGAAATGTTTGCATAAATGTGTGTTTGTGTGTTTTTTTTTGTCTGTTTTTGTGTTATTTGCTTATGTTAAATGGACTCTGTGTGTGTCTGGATAAAATATGAATTAAATAATACACAAAAAAATTAAAAATTCTGTTACGTTTCTTAAAATTACCACTATGTCCGAGTTCACACCACGGAGTTTTAGCCGCTGCACCCGGCAATGGATGAAGCGGAAGAAAATGGGAGGATGGGTCAAAAAAGTTCACACATCGGGAGGTCAAAGTCACGATGGTCGAGGGGAAAGTTAAAAAACCTCAGATCTGGAAACTTTTATGTAAGTGGGGAAAAAAAATTGGAAATTTTTCTAGATTAACTGATTAGGTCTCTCTCTAGGTCTCTCTGGTCTTCAAAGTAGGTCCCCAAAGGATAATTGTATGACCAAATAGAAAGATTATTTGCCTAGATTCTTCTATGGGTATAACAGCACACACACACACACACACACACACACACACACACACACACACACACACACACACACACACACACACACACACACACACACACACACACACACACACACACACACACACACACACACACACACACACACACACACACACACACACACACACACACAATTTTTTTTAAATGTCAAAATATTTTCTAATCAACATAAACGTAATCGATTATGTCGAAGGGTCTAAAACAGGGGTCGCCTTCTTACAGTTTAGTCCCGAAAAAAATCTCTCCAAAGGTTAAAGGTTAGAGACCCCTGATGTGGAATATACAGAATATATATATATTATATATAAAAAAAACGCGGCGATCCCACAACCCCCTAAAAAGTACCGCACCAAACTCAACCCGGATCAACCCAAGCCTCACTTCAACCAAAACTAAAATGTGGATTTCAAAATAACCGCAGTGACTAGTTCCTGCGCAACAACCGCCTCCACCACGACAGCCATTTAACCGAATTAAACAGCCAAAATAAATATCAGAAGTATTATTTTAAAAACCTGCGCCTTCACAAAGAGAGCCTTGTTTATGGTTCGTTCTCGGCGATCGCAGCGACAGCACCAGGACACGGGTTTCCTCCGACGCCGCGGTTCAAACCCTGAACGAGCAGAACATGGCGTTCCTAAAAGGCCACGAGACTCAGAGGTGCGTCCTCGTCACACCTCCGCCGCTTACGGTCCCAGTCAGATGAAGTTCACGAGGTTTTGCAGAGAGAGAGAGTCACAAGAACGGATACTATTGTTTATTCTAATCTCCACTGCTGAAGGAAAAGACCTCATGACTGCTGCTTACTTCAGAGTTTACTCCAAAAGTGACGTATTTTTGAACCGAAAGATTTATTATTTTACCCTGGTATAATCTATTATCTAATGTCTTAGCTAGAATTCCATGTTTGAATTGTGTATAACTTGAATTATAGGATGAAAAATAGCCTCCTTTGCCAATTCTGGCTTTTTAAAATCATCTTTAATCATGTGTTTTATTAAATAGCTTTGAAATTAACCTAAACTGAAACTGAATTATGTTATTTTTCTCCTTTTATTCTACTGTAACGTGCGCAAAGACCAGATTTAAATTCCCACGAAGGCCCGAAAAAAGGTGTATGTTACTGTATCTAAGAACCACGGTCGAACAAGCAAACCAGAACTAAACTTCACCCGACACAGGTGCGACCGAGACACCAGCGACTTACCGATTTAAGAGATCCACGCTGCAGAGTGAAGGCGGGTTTTCCACTTCGGTCACTTCGGTTCGCCCTGGTCCACGGGGTCTACGGGCTCCGCGGGGTCTTTGGGCTGGAGCTGTGAGACTCGGTCGGACTGGTACGCCTGGGACAATAGGAGGCCACACGGCTCACGGAGCGTCTCTCAATGAGGCATGTTAGCAAACAGACAAACAGCATGTCCGCCTGAGCCTGAGCAAGAAGAAGAAGAGAGGTCCAAGCCCGGATGGCGGTGATGAATTATTCAGAAGTCTATACGGCGCTGCCATAGCTCCCTTCGCTCTCCCCCCGGACAAATGCCTTCGCTCCGTGTCAAGAAACGTCGCGAACTCTTCAGAATGGCTCTAAATAGTTCATATCAAGGCATTCGAAAGTATCGCGGTTAAAGGCGCAGCTACAGTAGAACCAAGTCTGACTTTTTACAGAGATTTCCCGACTTTGTTTTTGTGCTGGCACCTGTCCCAGACCCATGCAGGCTCCCGGACTGAAACACACACACGCAAGTTCGGACCAAAGCGAAGGAGTAGGTGTTGGTGCGTACGTGCGGCGATACGACACGTGCAGCTCCATCGCCGCTCGCAGACACGGCCCCGAGAGAAACCCCCCTCACCCCAGTCCAACCCCGACAGCAACAGCCAAGGCACTACTGAACCCAGGCGCTCGGATAAAGTCGATAAAACAGTCGTGCTGTTAAAAGTTCCAGGCCGAAAAACGCTCAAGACGACTGTTCTGAAATAGCAAGAAAAGGGATGTTCAGTAAAATCCAGTGTGCAGCGGTGGAAAAGTGAGAAAAGGGCCGTGAAACCAACTTGTTGCCAGGTGTCGCTGAGCTGCTGTTGGAGGCAGAGGGTTAAAATCCAGTCTAGTGAGTGAAAAAAAACAAAAAAAACGCTCTGTGTGTGTGAGGAGGGCGGGCTGAGGGCTGAGGGGAGGCCCAACTGTAGAAATAGCAGCACACTTTTTCTTTTTTTCCCCCCGGCAAAGCTTAAGTCTCACTCTGCATGAGGCTGGAGCAGAGAGAGAGAGAGAGAGAGAGAAAGAGAGAGAGAGAGAACCCAAACCAGGGAATCGGGTCCACATCGCAGCCCAGCAGCAGCAGCAGGAATCTCTCTCGCTTCACCATCGGACCGTCGCGGCAAGAAAGTCTATTCGCACTGAAGACTGGGTTGAGCGAGGGAGAGAGAACATGGGGCAGAAGATGAGTGAGCGAGAGAGAGAGAGAAAGAGAGAGGGGAGGAGCGTTCTCTGAGAGTGGAGGAGGAAGAATGACACAGATCCCCACTCCTCTGACGCAGACGCACTGGGATGGGCTCTACTTTTACACCGGCTCCTGGAGCAACTCTGGTGAAAAAGAGAAAGAGAAAGAGAGAGCAGGCGGCCGAACAAGGCGTAGCGTTGAGAGCTAGCGGAGCTAACGGGGCTCTGAAATATGCAGGACGTCGGGGATGAATTATTGAGCTGTTGTTTTAGCTTTGACCCCGAGGTGTTTGAACGGTTTAGTGCGGGACAGTAACTGGAGAGAGAGAGGCTCAGAGCTAGCAGAACATGCAAATACTGTAGTAGCACGATGAAAGCTCAAAGAATATGTGATACAAGCTTAGCCCTCGCTGGTCTCTCTCTGGTCTCTCTAGTCTCTGTCTGGTCTCTCTCTGGTCTCTCTCTCTGGTCTCTCTCTGGTCTCTTTCTGGTCTCTCTAGTCTCTTTCTAGTCTCTCTCTGGTCTCTTTCTAGTCTCTCTCTGGTCTCTCTCTGGTCTCTAGTCTCTCTCTGGTCTCTTTCTGGTCTCTCTAGTCTCTTTATAGTCTCTCTCTGGTCTCTTTCTAGTCTCTCTCTGGTCTCTCTCTCTGGTCTCTAGTCTCTGTCTGGTCTCTCTCTGGTCTCTCTCTCTGGTCTCTAGTCTCTCTCTAGTCTCTTTCTGGTCTCTCTAGTCTCTTTCTAGTCTCTCTCTGGTCTCTTTCTAGTCTCTCTCTGGTCTCTCTCTGTTCTCTTTCTGTTCTCTCTCTGCTCTCTCTGTTCTCTTTCTGTTCTCTCTCTGGTCTGTCTCTGGTCTGTCTGGTCTCTCTCTGGTCTCTCTCTCTGGTCTCTCTCTAGTCTCTCTCTAGTCTCTCTCTGGCCTCTCTCTGGTCTCTCCTGGTTCTCCCTCGGGTCTCTCTCTCGTCTCCCTCTGGTCTCCCTCTCTGGTCTCTCTCTCTGGTCTCTAGTCTCTCTCTGGTCTTTCTGTAGTCTCCCTCTGATCTCTCTCTGGTCTCTAGTCTCTCTCTTTAGCCTCTCTTGTCTCTCTCATTCAATACTTGAATAAAAATCAAAATTCAACCACATTTTGTCTCTAGGTGTTTCTATATCATTGCATTTCTTGTGTTTGACCTGTTTGATTCTCTGATCTGTGTTGGAGAATCGACAATATAGATTGTAAAGTCCCCCGGGATAAACTACTGTTGTGATTTAGGGGCTACATTGAATTGAAAAGAATGAGAGAAAGCTTTCGGGGATGGACAAAGGTTCTGTGTGGGTCCAGCTGGCAAACATGGCTGACTCCACCATCTTAGACGCTATTGATTATTCAGGCTGGGTCTGGTCTGGTCTGGTCTGGTCTAGTCTGGTCTGGTCTCACCCCTCTCTCCCTACCGCTTTGGGCTGTGTTCTCTGCACCTTCTGCACGACGGTGTTCGGCTGTTTCCACTCGAGGCAGACGACTGAACCGCTATTGTACAAGAATATCCTGCAGAGAGAACACCAAGGCTCTGGTCTTTGTCAGGGTCTCTCTCTCTGGTCTCTGTCAGGGTCTCTCTCTCGTCTCTCTCTCTCTCTTGTCTCTCTCTCTCTTGTCTCTCTCTCTGGTCTCTCTCAGTGTCTCATTCTTGTCTGTCTGGCATCTGTCTGGTGTCCCTCCTGTCTCTCTGGTCTCTCTTTTTCTCTATGATTTCTCTCTGGTCTCCCTCTCTGGTCTCTCTCTCTGGTCTCTCTCTCTGGTCTCTCTCTCTGGTATCTCTCTCTGCTTTCTCTCTCCTGTTTCTCTCTTATCTCTTTTTGTCTCTCTGGTGTTTCTCTTATCTCTCTCAGCTCTCTTTGGTCTGTCTTTTTATTCATGATTTCTATCTGGTCTCTTTTTCTCTCTGGTCTCTTTTTTTCTGTCTGCTCTCTCTCTCTGGTCTCTCTCTGGTCTCTCTCTGGTCTCTCTCTGGTCTCTCTCTGGTCTCTCTCTCTCTGGTCTCTGTCCTATCTCTGGTCTCTCTCTGGTTTCCCTCTGGTCTCTCTCTGGTCTCTCTCTGGTCTCTCTCTCTCTCTCTCTCTCTGGTGTCTCTCTGGTCTCTCTCCGGTCTCTCTCTCTCTCTCTCTCTCTCTGGTCTCTCTCTCTGGTGTCTCTCTGGTCTCTCTCTGGTCTCTCTCTCTCTCTCTATCTGGTGTCTCTCTGGTCTCTCTCTCCCTCTCTCTGTGGTCTCTCTCTGGTGTCTCTCTGGTGTCTCTCTGGTCTCTCTGTGGTCTCTCTCTGGTCTCTCTCTCCGGTCTCTCTCCGGTCTCTCTCTGGTCTCTCTCTGGTCTCTCTCTGGTCTCTCTCTGGTCTCTCTCTGGTCTCTCTCTGGTCTCTCTCCGGTCTCTCTCCGGTCTCTCTCTGGTCTCTCTCTGGTCTCTCTCTGGTCTCTCTCCGGTCTCTCTCTGGTCTCTCTCTGGTCTCTCTCTGGTCTCTCTCCGGTCTCTCTCTGGTCTCTCTCTGGTCTCTCTCCGGTCTCTCTCTGGTCTCTCTCTGGTCTCTCTCTGGTCTCTCTCTGGTCTCTCTCCGGTCTCTCTCTGGTCTTTCTCTGGTCTCTCTCTGGTCTCTCTCTGGTCTCTCTCTGGTCTCTCTCTGGCCTCTCTCTGGTCTCTCTCTGGTCTCTCTCTGGTCTTACGACAGACTACACTCTCCCCTCTTGGCCTTGAAGCCTGCAGCAGCTCGAGGGAAGAAAAGCAGGAAGGAAGTGTGTAAAGAGTGTGTCACTGAAAAACTATTTTGGTCGCGATGTTGTGAGGTCAACACAAAAACAATGCACTGGAAAAAAGGCAATTTTATGCTCTGTCCATGATTCATTATTAGACACTCTGTGACAGCACACACACACACATACACACACACACTCACTCACACACACACACACATACACACACACACTCACTCACACACACACACACACACACACACAGACACACACACACACAGACGCAAACACACACACACACAGAGAAACACAAACACACACACACACGCAAACACAGACACAGAGAAACACAAACACACACACACACAAACACGCAAACACACACAAACACACACACGCACACACGCACACAGACACACACACAGACACACACACACACAGACGCAAACACACACAGAGAAACACAAACACACACACACACGCAAACACACACACAGACACAGAGAAACACAAACACAGACACAGAGAAACACAAACACATACAAACACGCAAAGACACACACACACACAAACACACACGCAAACACACACACACACACACAGAGAAACACAAACAAACACACACACACACAGAAAAACACACACACACACATAAAAACACACACACACACACACACAGAGAAAAAAACACACACACAGAGAAACGCAAACACACACACACACAGAGAAACACAAACACACACGCACACACACAGAAAAACACAAACACACACACTCACGCACACAGACACACACACACACACACAGAGAAACACAAACACACACACTCTGGAAAACACAGCAAAAGTCCACACCACTCGCTACGACACGACTTTTTGATCCGTCTCCAGTGAAATTTAGTCGATTACATTTATTTTTGTACAACAGCAGTTTTCTCTGAGGACCATTACAGAGCTGTCGATTCTCCAACAACAGATCAGAGAATCAACCGGTTCAGACACAAGAAATGCAATGATTCTGGGCTGGGACTCGATCAAAGAAATTAATCTAATTAATTAGAGGCTTTGTCATTAATTAATCCCATAAATTATCTGAGCTGAGAACAGTGAGAAGTAATTTTTTTCCAACAGACCAGTGCCATTTTTGCCATTAAGTCCAATACCATATTTAGAAACCAACGCGTTCACATCAGTGTCTTTGTTGATGTTCACTCTGCCACGAACCAGTGCAGACACCATAACGAAGCAAGTGCAGCTGCAGCAGCGTGAGAGTGTAGGGCCGCACCAAACACAAACTTTAGACACTTTGCTCAGAGGCAGCGGTGAGATCAGTGTTTCTCTGACTCACTTCTGTCGTTGGGAGGTTCGGACACAGGTCAGATTTGCGGAGAACAAGCCTGGAAGTAGCGCGGTGCTCCAGTACAATCGGTCCGTCTGAAACCCATCCAGTGAGAGACGTTCCGCGGTGCGAAAAGGAACATGGCAATTCAAATGCGTGATTTTTTTAACGCGCTAATTCTTGTGTTAAAGTCCCGGCCCTATAAAAAACACATAAAGCCATTGGTCCATACGGGGCAGAGACCAAAGTCCCAGTGTGCACCGGAGAACGGCATGAAAAATAAAGCTAAAAGTAGAGGAATAATTGTCACAGTGAAGTCAAA